TCGGCAAGGTGAGAGTGGCTGAAGCAGGTTCGACAAGGTGAGAGTGGCTGAAGCAGGTTCGGCAAGGTGAGAGCGTCTGGAAACAGGTTCGGCAAGGTAGGAGTGGCTGAAGTAGGTCCGGCAGCGTGAGAATTGTCAGATTATGTGATGATGAGGTCATGTCGGCACCTCTTTTGTTGCAAAAGATCCGCAAAGGATTCGCAAAAGATTTGCATCATGAGCGGTTGGTGTAATGAGCGTGCGCGTGCATGGTTACTTACTGCCTCATTGACAGAGCTGAGAACGGGCTCTCTGCTGAGAGTGCTTGTGCCACTGCTCTCTCAGTCGTGCTCTCATCGTCCTCTCCGCCCCCCCACCCCGTGCCGTCCATGCGGTGCAGAACATCAAGCTGGTGTATCGCACGTTCGCCACGCTCTACTTCATCTTCCTCATCGGCCGTGTGGAAAACGAGCTTGCTGCTGAGATGCGAGTGCTTGCGCCACTGCTCTCTCAGTCGTGCTCTCCCCATCCGTCCCCATCCATCCCACCCATATCGCAGAACATCAAGCTGGTGTATCGCACGTTCGCCACGCTCTACCTCATCTCCCTTGTCTAGACGCCTCGCAAGTTGTGCTCTCGGAATCCCCTTTTTATCCCCCCATCAATCTGTATCGCAGAACATCAAGCTGGTGACCGCACATTCTCCACACTCTACTTCATCTTCCTCGTCGGCCGTGTGGAAAACGAGCTTGCTGCTGAGATGAGAGTGCTTGCGCAACTGCTCTCTCAGTCGTGCTCTCCCCATCCGTCCCCATCCCACCCATGCCGCAGAACATCAAGCTGGTGTACCGCACATTCGCCACGCTCTACTTCATCTTCCTCATCGACAGAGCGGAGAACGAGCTCGCTGTGCTGGACCTCATTCATGGTACGTATGGCTCTTCGTGGAAGGCTCTTGACCACCCAGGCTCCTCTATTGAGTCACCACCCAAACAGAGCCGAGAACGAGCTCTCTGTTCCAGCCCGACTCCATTCGGGGTTAAAGCTCTTGGTTACGTTCACAGCAAGGCTCAACACTACACCACCCAGGCTCAACACTACACCACCCAGGCTCAACACTACACCACCCAGGCTCAACACTACACCACCCAGGCTCAACACTACACCACCCAGGCTCAACACTACACCACCCAGGCTCAACACTACACCACCCAGGCTCAACACTACACCACCCAGGCTCAACACTACACCACCCAGGCTCAACACCAACCACCCAGGCTCAACACTACACCACCCAGGCTCAACACTACACCACCCAGGCTCAACACCAATCACCCGAGTTTTTCAGCTCCTCTGACCTCCTTGCACTTCTTCCCTGCTTCCCTGCTTCTGTGCGTGTATGCAGTTTTTGTCGAGTCGTTGGATCGCTGCTATAAGAACGTGTGTGAGCTGGACATTGTTTTCAACTTCACCAAGGTATTCTTCATCCACTGTCAAGGGGCTTTATCCGCTGTTGCTAAAAGAACGTGTTTAAGCTGTTGTCAAGGGACATTTATCCTTTTAGTTTTCTATTAGGGTACCAAGGCTGGAGCACCATTTCTTACGTGTTCCCTTGTGTGCGCAGCTGCATTCCATGCTCAATTGGTTCATGGAATGAACGCCACACCTCCTTTCTGCCTCCCTGTCTCTCTGACGCCCTACCTCCCTATCCCCCTGTCCCCCTGGCCCCGTTCCATGCGGATTGTGTGCATGCAGGTGCATCAGATTCTGAACGAGATTGTGATCGGAGGGCAGGTGCTAGAGGTGACAGTAGATGAAGTGCATCGAGCCGTGCAGGAGATAGAAAGGTGAGAATGAGATGAAGGGGAGATTGAGAGCAGGGGTTAGGGGGATATGGAGTGTCTAAGGTGGTGGACTACGGGGATTTTAAGGCACGGCATAGGTGCTAGGGGTGACAGTGGATGAAGTGTATCGAGCGGTGCAGGAGGTAGAGAGGTGGGTGAGGGGGGTGGAGGGGAGAGGAAGGAAGTGGTGCTGACAAGAGGTGATTGTGATTAGAGGGCAGGTGCTAGAGGTGACGGTGGATGAGGTGCGTCGAGCGGTGCAGGAGATAGAGAGGTGAGTGTAAGGGGTGGGTATAGGGTGTGTAGGTAGGGAAAACGGGGAGTGCCAGGCGTCACATGAATGCTAGAGGTGACAGTGGATGAAGTGCAGGAGATAGAGAGGTGAGGGGGAGAGCGGGAGAGCAAGGGAGTGAGCGACTGGTTCTCAACACTCACAAGAGAAAGTGCAAGAGGAACACGGGCTGGTTGGCTTTGGAGAAGGATTGAAGGGATGCTCGGTACACATTGAAAGGATGCTCGGTACACATTGAAGGGATGCTCGGTACACATTGAAAGGATGCTCGGTACACATTGAAGGGATGCTCAGTACAAATCGAAGGGATGCTCGGTACACATTGAAGGGATGCTCGGTACACATTGAAGGGATGCTCGGTACAAATCGAAGGGATGCTCGGTACACATTGAAGGGATGCTCGGTACACATTGAAGGGATGCTCGGTACAAATCGAAGGGATGCTCGGTACACATTGAAGGGATGCTTGGTACACATTGAAAGGATGCTCGGTACACATTGAAAGGATGCTCGGTACACATTGAAGGGATGCTCGGTACACATTGAAGGGATGCTCGGTACACATTGAAGGGATGCTCGGTACAAATCGAAGGGATGCTCGGTACACATTGAAGGGATGCTCGGTACACATTGAAGGGATGCTCGGTACAAATCGAAGGGATGCTCGGTACACATTGAAGGGATGCTTGGTACACATTGAAAGGATGCTCGGTACACATTGAAAGGATGCTCGGTACACATTGAAGGGATGCTCGGTACACATTGAAAGGATGCTCGGTACACATTGAAGGGATGCTCGGTACACATTGAAGGGATGCTTGGTACAAATCGAAGGGATGCTCGGTACACATTGAAGGGATGCTCGGTACCCATTGAAGGGATGCTCGGTACAAATCGAAGGGATGCTCGGTACACATTGAAAGGATGCTCGGTACACATTGAAGGGATGCTCGGTACACATTGAAAGGATGCTCGGTACACATTGAAGGGATGCTCGGTACCCATTGAAGGGATGCTCGGTACCCATTGAAGGGATGCTCGGTACACATTGAAGGGATGCTCGGTACACCGTACATGTGTGCTGGTGGTTTGTTTTGTTACTTTCCGAGTGATCCAAAAGTCGCGAGGGCTTGAACAGGTGCTCAGTACTTGTGCGTGTGTGTTTCTGTTTTACACATCACCAACGCAGCTGTACCTGTATGTGACTGCACGCCCCGCTGAGTTCATTACCCTCCACTTGCAATTTCACTCACCCGCTCCCTCCCTCCCTGGAGCACAAGCCAGACACACCAGCAACGCAGCTGCACCTAAAGGTCGCCCGAGCCATGTGTGCGCACTCCTCCAAGTTGATCCTTTTTTTTTTTTTGAACGTCTCAAAAGAGTTTTGAGACGTGCTTTGAGACGTCTCAAAACGCAGCTGCACCTAAGGGGCGCCCCAGCCATGTGTGCACAGCACACTCCTCCGAGCTGATTTCTTCTCATTCTGCCTTGCGTTCACTTCCTCCCTCCCTGCCTCACAGGCTTGAGCGGAAGCCAGACACGCCAGCAACACAGCTGCGGCCCAGGGGCGCTCCTCTGCTCTCCTGATTCATTGCTGAAGGGGCATATCTTGTTGACCCCTCTGCCCCCGCTCTCACAAGAATTACGACTTGCCTATTCAAGACAGCAGTGCCTGGATTCTGGTAGACAATCTGGTGATTTGTGTGAAGGCAAAATCTGAGCCTCACGGTAATCAGAATGGCTCAAACACTCATATGTTCGAACATTGATTCTGTTTGATCAGCAGGCGTTGGGCACAGCGAATTAGTAATAACGGTAGGCAGAGCGGATGATAAAGTTAAACCGCTCTGTGATATTTACACATCAAGCCTTAAGAGAGGTACGGTAATATTGTAGTTCTTTTACCTTCTACTAGCGTTCCTTAAAACCAGGGTGCACATTCAACGCGGTTCGGCTTGAGATGTTGGGAAGGGGGTTTGGAGAAAAACAGTGATTGGCTCACGAGGGGCGACAAAAAAATGATTCCGCTAGAGCTTCGGGCATTTCGTAGGTGGCGGGAGGGGGTGAAATGGCGGGAGTGGGTGAAACCGAATGGCGGGAGGGATGAAACAGATTGGCGGGAGGGGGGGGAAACAAAATTGCGGGGGAGGGGGGAAACAAAATTGCGGGGGAGGGGGGAAACGAATTTCGACGGGGAGGGGGAAATGAAATTGCGGGGGCGTGGGGAAACGAAATTGCGGGGGAGGGGGGAAACGAATTTCGACTTGAAGGGGTTGAAAGCACACCTCGTAACCCACTCAGTCAAGGGATAACCTTTGATGCACATTCAGCTGAATGTGCACCCCGGTTTTAATGTAGGCCTTACTCTAGCGAGTACGTTGCGGAGGTTCTCGCGTCAATTCGGCGTACATTTTCGTTCCGAACCACTTCCGAGTCGCCACCGCACATTTCACCACCTTTCCGAGCCTCGTTACCCCGAGGTTCTCGCCTCGATTATGCCTAATTTTATCCTCGTTATTCTTCCATTCAGTACTATGTCATTCTTTCTGCCCATGCCTTTGTGATACACTTATCATAAAATGGCACATAAACTTTCCAACAAGTACCACTTTATGCGTTAGTAAGCACCTCGCTGACACTGCGACGGTTGGCTGTGTGGTCATTCTGTTGCTTAGTGCGACATTAGCGGGGGGAATTAAATGGATGATGCTGAAATGAACGGTAACGGGGGAGTTGAGATGAACGGTCAGGATGAACGTATGGCTGACGTCAACGGTTTAGATGCAGCTGAGACAAGGAAAGAGGAGATAGAACCTGCTCGTGGAGGCGCTGGCGAAATTGACCCAGGTGATACTGGCGAAACGGGTCCTATTAACGCTGGCGAAATGGACCCTAGTAACACCGGCGAACCTGACCCGGGTAGCATTGCAGTGCTGAAAACAGTTGACGAAAGCGTCAGGACGGCGCGCGAGGCTGAAACGAAGGGGGGTGACGAAACTAGGGACGACGGGAGGATCGAGGCAGGAGCGGAAGCAGAACGAGGTGAGAGGAAATCAGCGGGAAGAAGGGGAGAAGAGAGGGAAGATGGGGAAGAGGAGGGGAGTGAGGAGATGCAGGGCGAAGGCACTCTTAGAAGTAACGCTGGGGTTGAAGGACAAGAGGAAGGGAAGCAGCAGCAGGACGGAGAGCAGCAGGTGGAAGGAGAGCAGCAGGAGAAAGACAAAAAGCAGGTCCAAGAGGAGGAGGAGAAGGAGGAGCAGGAGGAGCAGGAGCAGCAGGAGGGGCGGGAGCAGGAGGAGGATGAGGATGAGGAGGAAGAGAAAGAAAAGCAGCAGCTAGTGGGCGCTAGGGAGAGCAGTAGGAAGGGCGACAGGGACGGCGGCGGTGGCAGCGGAGTGAAGCGGGGGCTGCGGTCTGTGATGGCAGGGCGATTTCAGCACTACTCCGCGCTCAAGAGCAAGCGCAGGCGGCGGCTGGAGCAGAGGAGCTTCCAAGAGTTCTTCCTGGCGGGTGGCGAGGGGGAGGGGGAGGGGGAGGGGGAGGGGGAGGGGGAGGGGGAGAGGGACGGTGGAGAAGAGGGGGAGAGGGGGAATGCGGAGGGGTTGGGTGGGGGAAAGGGGGTTGGAGAGTTAGTGGAAGATGGGGAGGGGGATGGAGGGAAGGAAGTGGAAGGGGAGGAGGATGATGTTGGTGTTGTTGTGGGGGAGGATGAAGGGGATGGGGACGGGGGGAGTGAAAGTGATGGGGTGGAGGAGGTAGAGCAGGAGGAGGAGGGAGAGGAGGGCGAGGGGGAGGAGGAGGAGAAGGAGGAGGAGATGAAAGAAAGCGGAGCTCTAGAGGGGGAGAGGAAAGAGGAAGGGGACGAGGAAGGCCGGGTGGAGGAAGAGAGGGACGGGATGGTTGAGGTAGCTGTTAAGGGTTTGGAAACAGCAGGGAGTGGAGCGGATAAGCTTAGAGGCTCTCTGAAATCCGTGGTGGGGAAGAGGGAGGAGAAAAGGCGAGAGAGGGAAGGGAAGGCACAGCCAATCGTGGAGGAGGAGAAAGGCGAGGGGCAGAGGACGCTGAGAAGGAGAGAGCAACCGAAACGAACCCAGCAGAGCACGCAACGGCAGCAGCAGCAGCAACAGCAGCAGCCACAGAAGCAGCAGAGGCGGCAGGGGAAGAAGCAGACGGGTAAAGCGAAGCAGGCAGCAGCGGCGAAAGCAAAGGCAGGGCGAGCAGCAGCAGCGAAGGCAAAGCGGGAGGCGGAGAGGCAGGAGGAGCACGATGCAGAGGTGGCACGGGCGGTAGGGTTCCCTCCGGATGGGCTGAGGGAGGACGAGGAGGAGGCGGGTGTGGTTCGCAGTGGCACGAGTGGGGAGGAGGGCGTGTATGTGCGCATGCGGAATCGGATTTTGGCGCTTTGGAGGCGGAATGTGAACGGGTGGATACATGAGGACAAGGTGGGTAGGGTGAGGGGGACGCAGTAGGGATTGGGAAGAGGGAGTGCGGAAGAGAGCGTGTGTATGTATGTATGTGCGCATGAATGGGGCGGTGGGGTTCCCCCCTGACCCCCGGATGGTCTGAGGGAGGACGAGGAGGAGGCTGGTGTGGTGCGCAGTGGCACGAGCGGGGAAGAGAGCGTGTATGTGCGCATGCGGAACCGTGTCCTGGCGCTGTGGAGACGGAATGAGGATGGGTGAATACACGAAGACAAGGTAGGGAAGGAGGAGAGTGAGAGAAAGTGGGGGGTGAGGTGAGGTGTGGGATGGGGAAGAGCGCATGTGTATGTGCGCATGAATGGGGCGGTGGGGTGGGGTTCCCCTCTGGTCCCTGGACGATCTGAGGGAGGACGAGGAGGCGCGTGTAGTGCGCAGGCACGGGGAGCATGGGGAAGAGGGCGTGTTTGGGCACCATCAACAGGAAACTCTTTATCTCTTTTGCATGCCTCCAGGGTAGACATGAGCAGCGAGCCAAGTTCTTACTCGACTCGACTCGACTGTGATGAGTCCAGTCGAGTCGAATCACCTCACCAGTTTTTACGATGCATCGAGTGACTTGACGGTTTCTAGTCGAGTCAGCCCTGCATCGGCGAGTCATTGACTCATGTCGAGTCAAGCTACTCAACTCGACACGTGGCTCGTAACGAGTCAGGAGACTCGTGACTCGTGCTGAGTCGAGTGGGTCAGTGGTCTGTTTCAGGTCGCAACAAGCCAATTGAGCCGTGACACAAATGGTTGTTCAACAATTCTCAAATTCATTAATCGGGGCCTCTCTCGCACTCCGCCCCCTCTTTCTTTCTTCCTGTGCAGTTAGTAAGCAGCACACCGGCACACGAGCGAGAGGCCACAAGAGCAGCCTTCAGCTTTCTCCATCTGCGTGGTTTCATCAACTGGGGCCTGTCGCGTACCGCCACATCCGCCATCCCTCGCCGCCCCTCCCTGCCCCACGTCATTGTCCTCGGTGCTGGCCTCGCAGGCCTTGCAGCAGCGCGGCAGTTGATGGTTCTCGGGCATCGGTGAGTGCTGTGGTTGAGTGGGTATTTCGAGCCGCCCCTCCCTGCCCCACGTCATCGTGCTCGGCGCTGGCCTTGCAGGCCTTGCAGCAGCGCGCCAACTACTAGCCCTGGGCCACCGGCGAGTGCTGCGGCCGGCTGAGTGCGGTTTTGAGGCCAGCTATGTTGATGTAACATCAAAAGTATGTTGAGAATTTTCAAAAGTAACATCAACATAATCGGTGAGTGCTGCTTTTTGAGAATTCTCAAAAGTAACATCAACATAACCGGTGAGTGCTGCGGCCGGCTGAGTACGGTTTTGAGGCGCTTAAACTAACAATAATTCGGGCCTCTCTCGCACGGTCGTCAGCCACTGCGGCCATTCCTCGGCCACTGTAAAAGCTCGCAACTGGCACTCCTATCTTGGATGCTCTCTTTCTCCCCTGCCTTCTTGCCCTGTCTACCGCCTGATCTGTTCCCATAAAAGTGACAGTGATAGAGGCGCACAAGAAACCAACCCTCATGTCTAACATTTCTGTCTCTCTTATCGTCTTTTTCTGATCTATTCCCATCAGGGTGACAGTGATAGAGGCTCGCAACCGCCCCGGAGGGCGAATGCACTCCAAGCTGCTCTCCTCGCCTCCAGGCCCCAACCAGGTGGGTCAACATGTGGTGACATAGTGGTGACATTCGATTTCTGAGGTACCTTGGAACATTCCAAGCTGCTCTCCTCGCCTCCAGGCCCCAACCAGGTGGGTCAACATGTGGTGACATGTGGTGACATTCGATTTCTGAGGTACCTTGGAACATTCCAAGCTGCTCTCCTCGCCTCCAGGCCCCAACCAGGTGGGTCAACATGTGGTGACATGTGGTGACATTCGATTTCTGAGGTACCTTGGAACATTCCAAGCTGCTCTCCTCGCCTCCAGGCCCCAACCAGGTGGGTCAACATGTGGTGACATGTGGTGACATTCGATTTCTGAGGTACCTTGGAACATTCCAAGCTGCTCTCCTCGCCTCCAGGCCCCAACCAGGTGGGGCAGTAGGTGGTGCAGATGGCATGCGGTGCAGGTGACATGTGTGGGATGCGGGCGTAAAGTGGGTGGGTGGCAAGCAGGTGGACCACGGAACTGTGTTTTTTCGATTGGAGTGAGCGCAGAGACATGGTACCTTTGCACCACACTCATTATCCCCGCCCCATCCTCTTCTTCGCGCTTTCCCCTCTCCCAGGTAGCAGTGGCAGCGGAAGTGGGTGGTTCGATTCGATCGTCACCGGCATCCTCAGCAACCCTTTGAGCGTCCTAGCTCGTCAACTCCCCATCCCTCTGCACCACTTTCATTACCCTCCCAACCCTGCTCTCCCATTTTCACCATGTCTCTCCTCTTCCCTCTCCCTGCTCTCCCCCCAGGTAGCAGTGGCAGCAGAGCTGTGCGGATCGATCGTCACAGGCATCCTCGGCAACCCTCTGGGCGCCTTGGCCTGCCAGCTCGCAAACCCTCTGCACTACATTCACTACCCCCCAACCTCCCTTCCTTTCCCAACACCCTGTTCCCCCTACGCCCTTCCCTTCCCCTCCCAAGTGGCAGTGGCAGCAGAGCTAGGCGGTTCTATCGTAACAGGCATTCTCAGCAACCCTCTGGGCGTCCTAGCTCACCAGCTCGCCATCCCTCTGCACCGCTCTGCATCCATTGCGCCTGCCCTCTGTCCCCTCCTGTGCCTCCCACCAGGTGGCAGTAGCAGCGGAGCTAGGCGGGTCGATCGTCACAGGCATCCTCGGCAACCCTCTGGGAGTCTTGGCCCGCCAGCTCGCCATCCCTCTGCACCGCATTCGCGACGCCTGCCCGCTCTACCGCCCGGACGGGCTGCCCGTGGACGAAAAATCTGACCGGGTGGCAGAGGCAAGATTCAACGTGATGCTGGACTTAGCTTCAGAGAGGAGGGCTGAGATGGAAGGGGTGGCAGATCAGATCTCCCTTGGGAACACCATGGAGTTTGTTCGGCAGCAAGCGGTGCAGGCTGTATCTGAGGAAGGTGACTCAGCCGCAGGAGCAGCAGCAGCAGCAGCAGCAGCAGCAGCAGCAGCCGCAGCCGCAGCAGCCGCAGCAGGAGCAACAGCAGCAGCAGCAGGAGCAACAGCAGCAGCAGCAGCAGCCGCAGCAGCAGGAGCAGTGACAGGATCAGCAGCAGCAGCACAACCAGCCACACTCCAAGAGACAGAGGAAGAACAGCAGCTGGTGCAGTGGCACTACGCGAACCTCGAGTTTGCCAATGCAGCCCGTGTAGCGGACCTCTCGCTGGCCTTCTGGGACCAGGACGACCCCCACGAGCTGCTGGGGCACCACTGCTTCGTGGCGGGTGGCAACGGGCAGCTTGTGGATGCCCTGGCGGACGGGCTGCCCGTGGTGTATAACTGTGCGGTGGAGAGGGTTGAGTATGGGATAGGGAGGGGTCGAGAAGGGGACGAGCCGGTTTCAGCAGAGGCAGGAGGGGGAGGAGCAGGAGGTGGAGCAGGAAGAGGAGGAGGCGGGGGAGAGGGGGGAAAGGAAGAGGAAGTGGGAGGGGAGGGGAGAGCGGCGGCGGGGGGAGTGAGGGTGGTGTGTCGGGACACGAGGAGTGGGGAGGAGGTGGAGTATGAGGGGCAGCATGTGCTCTGCACGCTGCCGCTGGGAGTGCTGCAGAGGGGGTCTGTGTCTTTCCACCCACCGCTGCCTCTCAGGAAGACACGTGCCATCCATAGGCTGGGCTTCGGGCTCTTGAATAAGGTTAGGTTCCTGTGAGTGTGGTGTGGTGTGGTGTGGTGTGGTGTGGTGTGGGGTGGGGTGGGGTGGTGTGTGGTGTGGTGTGGTGTGGTGTGGTGTGGTGTGGTTGCATGGTGTCAGGCTTGGTGGATGTCGCCACACCGCACTTCTCATCACAAGTCGCCTCAGAGCTCTTGGAGGGCTTAAGAGAACTTCCATGCCTTTCCTCCCGCCCCTGCCTAACAGGAATAACTTATTCTTTCTAGTACCCTCCTTGTGCCTGCACACTCTCACCCGCATCCCTCCCCTTTCTTTCTCTTTCCCTTGCTCTTCCCCTATGTTTTCTGGGACACCACCATCGACACCTTTGGTTGCCTCAACTCTTCAGCTCATGACACCTTTGGTTGCCTCAACTCTTCAGCTCATGACACCTTTGGTTGCCTCAACTCTTCAGCTCATGACACCTTTGGTTGCCTCAACTCGTCAGCTCATGACACCTTTGGTTGCCTCAACTCTTCAGCTCATGACACCTTTGGTTGCCTCAACTCTTCAGCTCATGACACCTTTGGTTGCCTCAACTCTTCAGCTCATGACACCTTTGGTTACCCTCTCCACATCCCTCTTCTCTCCCGTCTCCTCTTTCCTCCCCATGCAGGTGCCAATGCTCTTCCCGTATGTCTTTTGGGACACCACCATCGACACCTTTGGTCGCCTCACCGCTTCAGCACATCACAAGCCCCACTCCTCTCCCAACTTCTCTCCCAACTCCTCTCCTATTCCCTCCTCCCGTCTCAGGTAGCAATGCTCTTCCCCTATGTCTTCTGGGACACCACCATAGACACCTTTGGTCGCCTCACATCGCACCCCTCACAGCGCGGCGAGTTCTTCCTCTTGTACTCCTACGCTGCTGTCTCGGGCGGCGCTCTGCTCATGGCCCATCGCTCCTGTTGCACCACCCACACTTGCTGACTGCTCTTCACCACTCCTCCACTTTATTACCACCCTTTCTCTCTTCTCTCTCTGTTGCACACACTCACACACACACGCGCACTCCCCCCTCCCAACCATGCAGGTAGCAATGCTCTTCCCGTATGTCTTCTGGGACACCACCATCGACACCTTTGGTCGCCTCACATCGCACCCCTCGCAGCGCGGCGAGTTCTTCCTCTTCTACTCCTACGCTGCTGTCTCGGGCGGCGCACTGCTCATGGCTCTTGTTGCAGGGGAGGCAGCAGAGAAGTTTGAAGGAGAAAAGTCAGATGCGCTCATGTGGAGGGTGCTGACAGTGCTCAAGAGTGAGTGGATTGCCCCTTGCTCACGTGTTTTCTCCTGCCATTGAGAGTTGAATCAATCGCTTCGAAGGGGGGTAATCAGACACGCGCTCCTCAAGAGTTCGCAGGACAAGCTAAGTTGCTCGTTCACCTTCATTGGAGCAAAGTCTTGAAAAGGGTCAGATGCGCCCATGTTAAGAGTCGTGTTTTGAGTCGACTCATTGAAAAGGGTCAGATGCACCCATGTTTTGCGGCATCAGGGCACTACTTGACTCATCTTATTATCCCAACCTTCTTCTCCCTTACCCCTTGATTCCCTCCTCCCTCACACCCCACCCTTTCCCCCCCTCACTTCTCGCATCCCTCCCCGCCCCTTCCAACCAGAAATCCACGAGCCCAAAGGCATAGCTGTGCCGCATCCTCTGCAGTGTGTGTGCATGCGGTGGCGCAGCAACCCGTATGCAGGGGCCTCGTACTCGTACGTGCGTGTGGCAACCCGTACGCACTTCAACCATGCTTGTCTCCCTTCAACCCCTCTCCCGCCCATCCTTCCCACAGAAATCCACGAGCCCAAGGGCATAGCTGTGCCGCACCCCCTGCAGTGTGTGTGCACGCGGTGGCGCAGCGACCCGTATGCAGGTGGCTCGTACTCGTATGTGCGTGTGGCGGCATCGGGGGACGATTACGATACACTGGCAGAGAGCGTGGACGAGCGGCTCTTCTTTGCTGGCGAGGTGCGTACCACACATTTGAGAGGACTGGATACACGTGTGAGGGAGCTTCACATGTGTCACTGAATGTGGCGGCATTGAGGGACGACCGACCACGATGCGTACGCTGGCAGAGAGCGTGCACGACTTTTGAGGCGCCTCAAAAGGACTGGATACACGTGTGAGGGAGCTTCACATGTGTCCCTTTCCTGAATGTGGCGGCATTGAGGGACGACCGACCACGATACATACACTGGCAGAGAGCGTGGACGAGCTGCTCTTTCTCTCTCGCTGGCGAGGTGAGCGTATGACGGGGGTTGCAGTGAGATATGGTGAGATCGCAGTGTGATTGCTGTGAGAGTACGGTGAGATGGCAGTTGAGTGCCCCACAAAGGAGTTGTGTTCCGTGTCGGCTCAAAACTAGGTGCGCTGAGTGAGCGCTTCTGTGCCACCTTGTGGCATCACCTGCTTAGCACTCATCCACACATGCAGACGCCCTCACCCTCCCTCTGCCTTACTCTATCTTCCTCTCCTCTTCAGGCCACTAGCCGCCACTACCCCACTACCATGCACGGATCGTTTTTCCCGTTCACATGCACACACGGTCCTTCTCTCTCCTTGTTTATTCCTCTCCCTTCGTTCCATCCTCTCCTCTCCCCTTCAGGCCACGGGTCGTCACTACCCTGCCACCATGCACGGTGCCTGCTTCAGCGGCCTGAGGGAAGCAGCCAAGGTCAACCAAGTTGCCACAGCCTCAAGCTCCCTCTTTCTTACTCTCTCTCTTCCTCTCTCCTTCAGGCCACAAGTCGTCACTACCCCGCCACCATGCACGGAGCCTGCTTCAGCGGCCTCAGAGAAGCAGCCAAGATCAACCAAGTCGCCACAGCAGCTGAAGCAGCGCGGACAGCCGAAGCATCTCGGGCAGCCGAAGCAGCCCGGGCGGCACAAAGTGCAGCTGCTGCCAGCAGTGCCGGCGGCAACACCACAGAGCAAAGCACTCCCATGACCACACCTGCTGCTGGCTTGTCAACAGATGTGGGAGCAGCAGCAGCACCAGCAGCGGTAGGCATGGGCATGCAGGTGGCAGTGTGCCTACTGGATGCTCTCTTCAGCGACCCTGACCTCGAGTTTGGTGCCTTTGCCGTGCTCTTTGATCCCCGCGGCTGCCAGCCTGACCGTGCTGCTGTGCTGCGGGTCACACTCAGAAAAGATGCCTTCTTGCCGCGGCTACCTGCTGCCCCTGCTGCGGCTGCTGCTGCTTCTGTCCCTGTTGCTGCTGTCGCCTCTCCAGCAGGAGTGAGTGAAGATGCAGCAGCAGCAGCCGCAGCAAAGGAAGCAGCAGAGAGGCGAAAGGCAGAAGCTGCGAGAGAATGGGGTTCTGTGGTGAATACCCCCTTGTCGCACACCCATGTGGTGAAGGATGAAAGCCAAGCACCTCATGCATCGAAAGAGCAGCATCAGCAGCAACAGCTAACACCACAGGAAGCCAAAAAGAAGCCATCTAGCAGTGCTCCTCCTTCACCATCTGCTACTGCAGCTGACTTCGCATGGCCCCTCCCCCAGTTGACCCTGCACACAGTTGTCACCCGCCACCAGGCCTTGCTACTCCGGGAGGTTCGGGGCAGCGATGCGGCTCGGTTGGCGATCCTGACAAGCAGGTTCGGAGTGAAGCTGGTGGGGAGGCGCGGGCTGGGGCAGATGGGGGAGGAGGTGGTGGAGGCAGTGAGGGAGGCGAGGGCTGCTAGCAGGAGGAAACTTTGTGTGATTTGATTACATCTGACAGGGTTCTTCACAGTTGGTATAGGCTCATACGGTAGTTGGATCGGGCTGGGGCAGATGGGGGAGGAGGTAATGGAGGCAGTGAGGGAGGTGAGAGCTGCTAGCAGGAGGAAGCTTGGTGTGATTTGACAAGGTGCTTTGGTATAGGCTCATACGGTAGTTGAAATGGGCTGGGGTGGGGCAGATGGGGGAGGATGTGCTGGAAGCTGTGAGGGAGGCGAGACCTGCTAACAGGAGGAAGCTTGGTGTGATTTGACCTCGTTTGAGGAGGTTGGCTTGTGGTATGGGCTCATATGGGAGGTATGGTCTGGTTGGGAACTGGGATGGGTCAGATGGGGGGAGGAGGAAGTGTTCGTATGCACCATTGTAAAAAATAAAATACATTCGCTATGACAAGGTTGCTCTAAGACTTAAACTGAACTACTGTAAGCCTTGCCATTTTACATTATCCTGATTATATACGGTACATGTGCGATAGGCGTCTGCAGCAAGAATGTGCAATGAAAGGTTGAATTGGTTGATGACTAGTGAAAGGGCTGGCTGATGTTTACAGAATTTGCAGATATGATCTGGGATGGGAGCCAGCCAACCTGGGGGTTCTCTCATAGGCTGATGCTTGTACGGTAGTTTGGGAATTTGAAGTGAAGTACAGTAAGATATTAATTTAGTGCATGGATGAATATATGAAACATATTAATACTTGTAGTGATTGTTTCGCCTTGGCTCATTCCCTTCTGGCGCGTGTATTAGATTTGTTTCGGGTCGCGCAGGTTCTGCTCTTGGAACGCGTTCGTCGTGGTCTGTGCGATCATGCGATGAGAGACGATGCGAGAGCGACGAAACTGTGCGAGCAGCGAAATCTGTTCGAGCAGGGCTTCTGCTGTGATAATTCAGGTGTTGTGATAGGCTCTGCTGCTGCTGACTTCTCACCCAGATCAGTCGCCGCATTCCTCGCCAAAGTGACGCATCAATAAGTGACACATCAATAAGTGACGCATCAATAAGTGACGCATCAATAAGTGACACATCAATAAGTGACGCATCAATAAGTGACGCATCAATAAGTGACGCATCAATAAGTGACGCATCAATAAGTGACGCATCAATAAGTGACGCATCAATAAGTGACGCATCAATAAGTGACGCATCAATTAGTGAAGCATCAATAAGTGACGCAGACGCTCAGCGGATGACATCTAAACCACCCGCCCGCTAGAGCAGCCATGGAAACATCTCTGTCGACGTTTCTGTGCCATATCCTGCTGCATTTTACAGCACGAACGGATGCGCCAGCAGCTGTACCACGAACAGCTTTACATACCACTAGCCTCGTGTTGCACCAACCTCATCAGTTCAAAACCACCTCGGCTTGCGCTATTCAGTGCACACCCGTCACGCGTGCGACCCCAGAGCCGGTCGATTGGCTGACGGAGGCACAAGTCTCGGTTGTGCGTGCTCAGGTCAAGCAGCTGACGTGGCAGTTCGACCGCAATGGCCGCCTTTTCTTCCGCGCTGCTTCCGCTCCTCATCCTTACCGTCATCATAGGAGGCGAGTCCTTGGGTTCAATCCTCCTCTGCTTCTCTTGGGGTTTCTGGGTTGAGAAGCGCGCACGCTTGTTTCCCTCTCAACCCTCTGCACTCCCTCTCACCCCCTCTGCTCCTTCTACCTCCAGTGGCCGCAATGGCTCACGTGGCGGCAGGCGAAGGCACGGATCGCTTGAACGCGCATGTGCAAGTCAGCGGCGCAAGCTACACTGTGGCTGCGAGGAGGAGCATAAAAAACGATGGCACGACAGGAAGCAAGACCTTGAGCATGGGAGTGGGTTTGGGGGTGGGGGTGGGGGTGGCGGGCAGTGGCGGCACAGGCGGAGCGGTGGGTGCGAGCGTGCAGGTGGCGACGCAGATCACGGTGCCGGGCCTCAGCCTCCCCGTCAGCTTCGACGCCCTCCGCTGCTTCACCCTTCCCCGGGCGGCGGCCAAGGCGGGGCGGGATGTGCAGGTGTGGTGGCATGGGATCACGGGAAACAGCAAGGGCAGCAGCAAGGGTGCGGTGTGCAAGCAGCTGCGGTTCTTTGCCAACCCCGCCTGCAAGGGCAAGGCGCTGGATGAGGTGCTCAAGCCGCAATACGCCGGCCTGCGCAAATTCTTCAACGTCCCCAGGTGGGTGGTGGGGTCAAGTGGATGATGAGGGCACGTGGGTGGGAGATGGGGAAGGTTGGTCAGGGTAGGTGATGGGCGCAGATTCTTCAACGTGCCCAGGTGGGGTCATGGGGTTGGGGGCAGCCTGGCAGGTGGGGTCATGCGGTTAGGTGGGTGCTATCGGGTCGTGCCTCTGTAAAGTGTTTCTAACGTCTGATCTGATCTTGTTCTAAACTTCTAATATTAACGTGCTTTTGACGTCCTTGCAGCAAGAAGAAGGTCGCCCGATGGATTTCTGTTTCCTGCCAGCCTGGTGCGTGCCTTGCATCCATGCCTCCATGCCACCTTGCCATCATGCCACCTTGCCATCATGCCACCTTGCCATCATGCCACCTTGCCATCATGCCACCTTGCCATCATGCCACCTTGCCATCATGCCACCTTGCCATCATGCCACCTTGCCATCATGCCACCTTGCCATCATGCCACCTTGCCATCATGCCACCTTGCCATCATGCCACCTTGCCATCATGCCACCTTGCCATCATGCCACCTTGCCTCCCTTCCTCCATGCTACCTTGCTGCACTCATCTCTTACACCTCCTCTATAAAAACGAGCTCCTTGCATTCCTCCATCAAACCATGTATGTGGTTTCACCGGCTGTGTCGCACGCATCTCTGCTGTTCCCCATCGTATTAATAGCATCAAGGGACAAACAAGGCAAAGCATCATTCCTGACGGCTGCTAAGCTAGACTAATCTCTCTCTTGCTCTCTCGCTCTCTCTTGCTCTCTCTTGCTCTCTCTTGCTCTCTTGCGCTTTTTGCCTCCATGTCACCTGAGCTTTGCCCATTTTGTTCTTGAGGATGTTTTCCAACCTTATATACATATATATATACAAATATGTATACATATATATATACATAAATATATATGTTCTCCATTTTTTTTTTCTTATTTTTTGCTTTTTATGAATTGGATGAAAGGCATCAATGAGAAGGTGCTGTATTGCAAGTTATCAAGTTACCGGCATAGATTTATGACCAACCTCAATCCAATACACCTTTTTCTTTTGTCACCTGCATCATAGGAACAGGATGTGCTCCGTTCCTGTAACGAGCGTTTTGAAAGGATTGCCGATGGCACTTGTGCGGGTGAGGTGTGTTGCTTTGAAAGCTAAAATCATGCTCGGACTTTCATTCCCTTGCAGATTTGTGTGCTTCAGTAAAATGTGGGCCTGGCGGCAACTGCACGAGGGATGCAAACGGAGATCCATCCTGTAGTTGCAGCGCTGGCTTCACCCCGTCTTCTGACAAGCTCTCTTGCATTGGTGAGGGGTGCAATTCAGAGAGCATGCCTTACGTTTCAGACCCAATTCGTGAAACTCGGTCTCCTCTCACCTGAAACTTGTTGCAAGAGTTGATGAATAGTGTTTGTGACACTTGATTTTCAAGATCCCGGCTTAATTGTTTTTTTTTTTTTTTATGATGATGATCCTTTGACTTGCCTGGCTCTCTTTTTCGCAGACACATGTGCTGCAGTGGATTGTGGGCCCAATGGCAAGTGTGTGAAGAAGGAGAACGGGGACGCAACATGCGAGTGCGACTCAGGTTTTGGGATGCCTTCCGACCAACTGCGTTGCGTCGGTGAGTTGCTGTGGTCTCGCCTGCAGGATGGATATGCCATTGTAACGAGGTGACTTTTGAGTAGACTTCAAAGTCATCGCGCATGCAGGATGGATATATTTGCTGCAACTCCATAGTTAAGCATGCATACTCCACCTGTATTTCTCTTTCCCTTTCGATCACCCCCGACCACCCCCCCTCCTCCCACCACCTCCATCCCCCCTTCCCCCCTCCCTTTTTTTTTAATGTTTTTTTTTTGTTTTTTTTGTTTTTTTCCTCCTCCTTTTACCCTTTTCCCCTCTCTTTGACCCTTGACCCCATCCTTCTTTGCACTCACATCAGACACGGCTTGCTCCGAGTTGGGTTGCGAACCGGATGGGGATTGTGTGAACATCGATGGAGTTCGCTCGTGCAAATGGAGTAAGCATGGCTTTAAGCTTTCTCTACACCCAACCCAGCCCATCTGCACCGCGCTCATTCTCTACCATCTCCACTATCTCTTTCATTTGGTGCAGTCTACTCCACATTTGAGTGAAGCTAGCGCATTTGCCAAGCTCATTTTCCCATCTCTCTGCCGCACCGTGCGTCTGCCTTGCGTGCTGCTGTGTTGCTCAGACTCACCCTGTGGCACGTGTCCCACTGGCGCCACGTGCAAAACCGTCCATACAACCGATGAAGAAGAGGCGGATGTGCCGTACTGCGAGTGCCCTGAGGGCTATGGGATGACCCCAACAGAATGCATCCAGAGTAAGATACATACCGCCCTGTTTTACTTTCTCCATTGATAGCATCTCACCCCAAGCTGAGAGCATCTCACTCGAAAGTTCTTCAACTTGGAGTGTATCAGTGGCCCCTACATGGGATCAGATTTTGGATGACCAGCAGCCCCAACAAGCAGCAGTCAACTTGGACGGCGTGTCAGATTTTGCATTCACCATCCTTTTCCATCCCGATTCATAACATCACGTTTGCCCGCGTCCTTGCTCCCCGTTTCCCCTTCTTCTTGTGCCATCCTTTTTCAGGTTCACCCAACGAAGTGCTTGCCAGTAGTGTGACGTTCGTCCAGGATCGTAGTGCCAGAGGCAAGGCGTCCAAGCCCTACACCCTCCGCCTCAAATATGGCTGCACTCAGTTGCCGGAGGGGGTGGCTGGGAATCTCAACGGCATACGAGCTGTTGAACATCGGTGGTGGTCCGAGTTGCGAACGGTTCAAATGGTATAATACGGATAACTGCGTCTCGAGCAGTGAAGTTGAGCGTACACATCTTCGGACCCCAAATGCTGCATTTGTACATACGTGAGTGGTTATTTATACCGTAAGTCAGTCAGCAGTCTGCATTTTGCCATCAAGTATGTCAATCAATGTGCACTTTACATTTCATCGTACCATAGAAAAAGTTGCTCTATATATTTCATCATACTATGATCTCAATGGTGTGCTTTACTAAGCACTATGCACTGCACTGTACTATGCATTGCACTTTACTATGCATTTTACTGTACTATGCATTCCACTGTACTATGCGTTGCACTTTTCGACCTTTACCCAAAACCGTCTTAGTAATTGTTTCTTTTCTTGTACTGGTATGCGCTTTTCTTTTCTTTCTTGCATTATCAACCAGGTTCCCAAATCCCTTTAACTACCGCTCTATTTGGTGCGGTGGTGCCTGATTTTCTCTCTTGCCCGCGCCTGATCCACTCAACCATGGAAATCAGTGCCCGACAGCTTGGCATGTTACCCATTTAGTCCCGAGAATTGACTCGTCCTCCTGCATTAGTCCCCAGAACGAGTTTTCTCCTGCCAAAGCCCCCAGATAGTAGACCCAGCAGTGTTGTTTGTACACCTGAGGGCATGTAATCCAAGATGTGCTTGTACTATTTAATACTTTATTGACGATACTACAACCTACCGTACTTTAGTATTTAATACGCTATCTTGCATAACACCCATCACTGTTGGTTTTGCCTTTAGGCAGGCTGTAAGGAAAAACCCTTTTCCTTATAGGGGTTTAGGGTGCCATCACCCATCACCAAAAACCCTTTTCCTTACAGGGGTTCGTTGGACTGGTTGCAAGGCCCCACGTAGTTACTGTCAAGATAGCAAGCAGGAATGATGGCATTGAATAAAATGTGGGTGCAAGTACTAACCCTAACTTTGGGTTGTACCTCATATGGGCTACCCCACTATAGCCGACACAGAACTAACACATATATAGTTTGACACACCCCCATAGGCAAAGTGGGGGAGAACAAGGGGTCACAAGACCAGTCAAGAAAAGCAAAGCAAGCTCGGGGTGGATCACAACGTCACCACATACTCGAGCACAAGCAAAGGGCCACAAGGCCAATTCACATGCAGAGGTATATATGCAACAACAACAGTACAGTGATCACTACCTAGCAAGAGCAAGCATGCAGGTATATGTATAGATCACAGTACAAGCAAAGTCACGAAGTGAGCAAGTGAGACGAAACAGGCACAAGGCCTAACATAGTACAGAAGCGCTGATGATCACCAGACGGAAGTGCCTTGGTGAATATATCAGCAGTGTTGGCCCGAGTGGCCACGTGAGCAAGACGAAGCTGACCACGCTGCTGCAACTCTCGAGCCAGGAAGTAACGCAGAGCGATGTGCTTCGTTCTGTGCTCCAGTCTGTGCTCCTGACACAAGGCAATGGCGGCCTTGTTGTATACGTACAGAACTGGAGAACGAGGCCGTTCTCTGCCAGAATCCCAGTCACTAACCACTGGGATAAAATGGCTTGTTAAGTAGCGGGTCAGTGCGCCCATAACCCCCCAGGACAACGAGCCTGTAACCCTTCCCTAGGATCAATCGGGGATCACCAGTGGACCTCTGACACCCCCCCGCACTGGGATGCCCGAAGTGCACACACCGGGATTCGAACCCGAGACCTTCGCTCTGATACCATGTCAGAATCCCAACCACTAGACCATTGGGATAAAAGGGCTTGTTAAGTAGCGGGTCAGTGCGCCCATAACCCCCCAGGCCAACATGCCTGTAACCCTTCCCTAGGATCAATCGGGGATCACCAGTGGACCTCTGACACTCTCCCAAGTCGGTCAGCAGGTAGGTGAGCCAGCGTAACTCCTGTGCAGCCATGGCTGTGGCGTAGATCTCAGCCTCACAACTGGAGCTGAGAACAGAAGACGAGCGGGTAGACCGCCAAGAAACAGAGCCGCAGCCAAGGCTGAAAGTGTAACCCTGTGACGACCGCTGCGTAGCTAGATCGTCAACCCAAGAAGCGTCTGAGTGTCCAGTGAGGACAACTGAGCTCCACCCTCCAAGCACGAGCCCCATGCCCGATGTACTGCACAAGTAGCGCAGTACCCTCTTCGCAGCATCCATGTGCACCTTTCGGTGCTTACCAGGAGCCACGTAGCATGCCAGAAGGCCAAGAGGG